TATATATATATATATATATACACACATATATGTGTATATATATATATTTTTTTTTTCCTAAGAGACACGATCTCACTGTGTCATCCAGGCTGGAGTGCGGTGGCATGATCTCAGCCCACTGCAGCCTAGAACTCCCGTGCTTAAGCAATCCTCCCACCTGAGCCTCCTGAGTAGATGGGACCACAGGCATGCACCACCAAACCTAGCTAACTTTTGTGTTTTTTGCAGACACTGGGTTTCACCATGTTGCCCAGACTAGTCTTGAACTCCTGAACTCAAGACATCCTCCTGCCTTGGCCTCCCAAAGTGCCAGGACTACAGCATGGGCCACTGCACCTGGCTGGCAAAATCAACTTCCTAAATTGATTGAGACCTGACTAAGATACTTTGGGTTTACACAGCTCAGTTCGTATCTGTTGATGCATTAAATGAATGGACTTTCTGCCCCTGCTCAGGGGCTTGGGTAAAGCTGTCATGAGGATAAAATGATCAGAGAGATGAAGCAATTACAGAAGTGAGAGCAGTGCCAGGCGCTGTGGCTCACACCTGTCATCCCAGCACTTTGGGAGGCTGAAGCAGTCAGGTCACTGAGGCCAGGAGTTCAAGACCAGCCTTACCAACATGGTGAAACCCCATCTCTACAAAAATACAAAAATTAGCTGGGCGTGGTGGCAGGCACCTGTAATCCCAGCTACTCAGGAGGTTGAAGCAAGAGAATTGCTTGAACTGGGGAGGTGGAGGTTGCAGTGAGCCGAGACGAACCACTGCACTCCAGCCTGAGCGACAGAACAAGACTCCATGTCTCTTTTTTGTTTGTTTTGAGACAGAGTCTTGCTCTGTCACCCAGGCTGGAGTGCCATGGCATGATCTTAGCTCACTGCAACCTCTGCCTCCTGGGTTCAAGCAATTCTCCTGCCTCAGCCTCCTGAGTACCTGGGATTACAGGGATGCGCCACCACATCCAGCTAATTTTTGTATTTTTAGTAGAGATGGGGTTTCTTCGTGTTGGCCAGGCTGGTCTTGAACTCCTGACCTCATGGTCCGCCCACCTAAGCCTCCCAAAATGTGGGGATTACAGGCGTGAGCAACCACATCTGGAATGATTGATTTTTTTTTTATCCATACTGCAATGCTAGTGGAGGAGAATGAGTTTTATGGTGTGGTTTCAAGAGCTCTGCAGAAAAACTATCTTGAAGCAGGTTATGGTTTTTGGTTGTTTGTTTTTCTGGAGACAGTCTCGCTCTGTCACCCAGGCTGGAGTGCAATGGTGCCATCTCAGCTCACTGCAACCTCCGCCTCCCGGGTTCAAGTGATTCTCCTGCCTCACTCTCCCAAGTAGGTGGGATTACAGGCACGTGCCACCACACCTGGTTAATTTTTGTATTTTCAGTAGAGATGGGGTTTCACCATGTTGGCCAGGCTGGTCTTGAACTCCTGACCTCAAGTGATCCACCCACCTCAGCCTGTCATAGTGCTGAGAGTATAGGCGTGAGCCATCGTGCCCGGCCTATGTTGTTTATTTTTATTTTTGTTCGTTTGTTTGTTTTTTCTGAGACAGGGTTTCATTATATGGTCCAGGCTAGAGTGCAGTGGTGCCATCACAGCCCACTGCTGCCTCGATCTCCTGGGCTCAAGTGATTTTCCCACCTCAGCCTTTCAAGTAGCTGAGACTACAGGCATGGGCTCAAAATGCTGAATAAAATCACACAGACTTCATTACCAGGAATCCTTAGCAAAGCAAAGCTCATCTGCTACTATTTAGTATTTGGTTTATTTGTGAGCAAAACTCCATCTCAAAAAAAAAAAAAAAAGAGAGAGAGAGATAGGGTCTCACTCTGTCACCCAGGCTGGATTGGTGCAATGGCATGATCACAGCTTACTGCAACCTGGGCTCATGGGCTCAAACACTCCTCCCACCTCAACCCCCTGAGTTGCTGGGACTATGGGCATGCACCGCCATTCCCAGCTCATTTATTTTACTTTTTGTAGAGACGGGGATCTCACTGTGGTGCCCAGGCTTAGCATAATTCTCTTGGCACACTATTCAGGGGGCCAGAGCTTGACATCATCATTTCCCATGAAGGAGACAGAACTGGATTTTGGGCTGAGTGTGACAGCTATACTGGGACCATGTTTTTTCCCTGTCTGCAGAAAAGAGAGCCCAGATCAGAAAACATGTTTGTGCATTTAGGCCAGATGCGGGGGCTTATGCCTGTAATCCCAACATTTGGGAGGCTGAGGTGGGCAGATTGCTTGAGGCCAGGAATTTGAGACCAACCTATCCAACATGACGAAACCCCATTTCTACTAAAAATATAAAAATTACCTGGCATGATGGTGAGCACCTATAATCCTAGCTACTCAGGAAGCTGAGGCAGGAGAATGGCTTGACTGAATCCAGGAAGTGGAGGTTCCAGTGACCTGGGATTGTACCACTGCACTGCAGCCTGAGTGACAGAGTGAGACTCTGTCTCAAAAGAAAAAAACAAAACAAAACAAAACAAAAAACCTGCGCATCTGTTAGTAGACTCTCTGATAAGGAGTATGAAGTGACATTCTTATCACCTGCTGAGAAGTTATTTAAATACTATCATGTTTGTGCAAATTAAAGATATCTTATCTAAAATTAGACTGGGTATAGTGGCTCATGCCTGCAATTTCAGCACTTTGGAAAGCTGAGGCAGGACAACCCCTCAAGCCCAAGCGTTTGGGATCAGCCTGGGCAACATAGTGAGACCCTGTCTCTACAGAAAAAATTATTAGAAATGAGCCAGGTGTAAGTCTAGATACTCAGGAGGCTGAGGTGGGAGGATTGCTTAAGCAAAGGAGATCGAGGCTGCAGTGAGCCCACTACTGCACTCCAGATTGGGTAACAGAGAAAGGCCCTGTCTCAAAAATAAATAAATAAAAATAAAAATTTAAAGATATTTTATTAAAATGTTTAAGCATCTTCATATATCAATATTTTCTTTATTTTATTTTATTTTATTTTGAAATGGAGTCTTGCTCTGTCGCCCAGGCTGGAGTGCAGTGGTGTGATCTCAGCTCACTACAATCTCCGCCTCCTGGGTTCAAGTGATTCTCCTGCCTCAGCCTCCCAAGTAGCTGGGATTACAGGCACCCACCATCATGTCTAGCTAATTTTTGTATTTTTTTAGTAGAGACCAGGTTTCACTATGTTGGCCAGGCTGGTCTTGAACTCTTGACCTCATGATCCACCCGTCTCAAACTCCCAAAGTGCTAGGATTACAGGCGTGAGCCACCACACCCAGCTTCATATATCAATATTTTCTAAACTCATTTCCTTTTATAATAACGTAGCCTAGGCTGTCACAGTGGCTCATGCTTGTGATCCCTGCACTTTGGGAGGCCGAGGCAGGCAAATCACCCGAGGTCAGGAGTTCAAGACCAGCATGGACAACATGGTGAAACCCCATCCCTACTAAAAATATAAAAAATTAGCCAGGTGTGATGGAGCTACATGTAGTCCCAGCTACTTGGGAGGCTGAGACAGGAGAATTGCTTGAACCCAGGAGGCGAAGGTTGCAGTGAACTGAGATGGCACCATTGCACTCCAGCCTTGATGATGGAGCACAATTCTGTCTAAAAAAAAAAA